TTATGTTATAAGTGTTTGATTTAATGAAGAAATTGAAATCTAACGAGAAGAAGATATGAAAAAAGTATGAAGGAGATTGTTTAGTTATAAAAAATATATATATATATATATATATATATATATATATATATATATATATCAATTTAATTTAAAATCCTTGGTTAACGATTATGATTTGTAATCCTTGTAATTATTAATTAATGATAGTAGTATTATATGATATAATAAATTTTTAATAGGACAACTAATAAAAGATATACACACATATATGTATGTATATCTACATTTATCTTTAGATAAAATATCTAAGCTAAGTCTCTGAGAGAGAGAGAGAGAGAGAAAACTTCACGCAGGGATGAGCGATCTCTGACAAAGCATCTTTTGACGTGATGTTCCACCGATCGGAAAGTAATTAACGGCAATCTGTAAGGATGGTAAAAGAGAGATAAAATGAGACAGAGAGAGAGAGAGAGAGAGAGAGAGAGAGAGAGAGAGAAAGAGAGCCCCTTTGAAGGGTGATATCGTTAAACTATATCAAACGATATTGATCTACTAACACCCTTTTCCTTAACAGTTTTATCTCTCTCTTTCTCTCTTTCTTCTTATCTTATCTTTGAGAGAAAAAAAAATAATAATCACACACTGTATATATATATTTTTTTTAAATTATTTAAGTTTGTTATAATAATTATTCATATACGTAAATATAATTAAAGTATTTAATATAATTTAAAAAAAATATATATATATATATATTTGTTAACTTTACGGTATTGTTATATAAATACTATATTTTATTAAATATATATATATTTATATTAGGGTGGGTCTAAAAAAATGAATTATTTTTTTTTTTTTACAAATGCCACGGAAAAAATGAGTTGCTAGACACCTTAAAAAAAATTCTCACCAAATATGAACACTTTGAATTTGTAATAGGAAGATCCCTCCGTATCGCTGTTTTTTTTTATTTTTTTAATTTTTTTTTCTCAGTCCAATAGAATAAAATTCATTATCTCATCATTAATTGATCGTAGGAGAAAAATGTTCTAGACGAATTTTGTAGGAAATTGAATGCTCTACAAAAATGGTGTCTTATGTTTTGGCGATTAAATTAAACGTTCAAAAGATATTCATCATGAAACTTTCATGTGTACTACATTTCTGTCTCTCTTAATATCTTTTCTTCACTTGAAAAAATACTAAGCTTGGTAATCAATTCCCTTTTTTTTTAATTTTTTTACTTTTCAATCAATCATATTATATTTTTATGATTAAAAGAAAGAGAGAAAGAAGAAGAACATTGAAATAAATATCATATAAATCGACTTGACCGGGTTAGAAGAGAATAGGCCGGATAAATTGAACGTAGACGACTTGGACGAGGTTTCGAGGACGCGTTCCACATCGTGTTTGTTTCTCGATTGATGTGCACCACCTTAACCACCAACCTATCTAAATATTTATCGTCATTCGTTACGAACGAACAACAGAAAAATAAAAGTAGTAGAAGACAGAAGAAGACAGAAGAAGAAGAAGTAAACGGAATCGAATCTATCCTTTTTAAGAAGAGAAAACGAGGAACCAAAAAAAGAAAAAAAAAATAAGGTTGATGAAATATTCGACAAATGTTAAGAGGGAGGACCCTAGGATCATTTCGTAAATATTTATGTCTTACCAATTATTTATCTCTCCTGTTCTTCTTACTTATCTTATCTTATCTTTTATTTATATTTATACTCGTTATTATTTATTACAAGTATCGATAAATTTTGTTAGTTTTTTTTTTGTATTGTCTCCAATCATTCTTCTTCTTCTTCTTCTTTTTCTTCTTCTTTCCCTTCTTTCCTGTTGTTCAAAATTTCATAAACTTTTTTTTTTTTTGGGGGGGGGGGACTCGTTAAATATTTGAGTTATCATTAAAAATATTCAACGTTTAAACTATCATTTAGTTTTTATTTCAAATTCACAAATGTGTTTGTGTGTGTGTGTGTGTGATGTGTTTTCTTTAAAACACATGTAATTGTTTTATTAATATATTTGCACAAACATCTTGCAAACATTCGTGACAAATTTTTGTTAATAAAAAAAAAAACAAATATTAAATCACCTATACATTTTGTATTAATTATGTTATAAATAATACAAAGTACGATGAATCGTTGTTCGATTAAAAAACCGATAATTAATCAATAGTAAATAAATCCTAAACGTAAAATAATAAAACAAAACTCCCTATATCGATTATGTGTACTTTTCATATATTTTTTTTTTGTCCACACAATTCTTTCCTTCTTTCTTTCTTTCTTTCTTTTTTTCTTTTTTTCTTTTTTTCTTTTTTTTTTGTCGTCGAGGATCGAAGTTGTTTTTTCAAAAAACACTTTCGTGTCGAACATTCTATAGTGTTTTCCTAGTAGGATTAACGTGTGCCGAGTTTTTATGTAAAAAAAAAAAAAAAAAGAGAAAAAATCGAACTTGGAATTGTGTATTTATCCTGCGATATCGATTAACAAATATAAAAATAAATAAATAAATAAATAAATAAATAACAAAAAGGATAAAATGAAAATTGCAAACGAATAAATGAATGAATGAATCAATCGAAAGAAAAATATAATTACATTTAATATTATTTTATAATTTTCAAATGAAATTATTGGAACAATTTTTTGTTCTCCTATTTTTGAAAAAAAAAAACAAAAAAATCTCAAAGTAAATTTAGAAAATAAATTAATTTGGGAAATAAATAAAATGATATATATATATATATATATATAATTTATTCGTAATATGATCTAATCGTTAAAAATAAATACATGATAAAAAGTGGGAGTATATTTTTGAGAAAACGAATTGATATGAACTACTATTATCATCACTATCGATGAAAATGTTCTAATAACGTGAAATGTATATCTCCTTATCGTATAATCGAGGTCGTAAGGTCACCGTATGTTACTCATCATCGTGCAATCAAGCATACAATAGGCTCGATTACTCGTCAATGCAGAAAATCCAATTATCCGAGTTGAATTTATACCTCTGCTGAATATATGCTTTCGCTTATGCCACTGTCCCGTGGTCATCAATTGAACAAAGATAATTAAAGTGATATAGACAGTCCAAAAAGAAAGGAAAAAAAGAAAAAAAAAAAGAAATTAACAAAAGCAAAAAAAAAAAGAAGATGAAACTTTGAATCGTGTGTCACCTGCTTCTCGAGAGTTCATTTATTGAACATTCACACTGTACTTTTTTTTTTTTTTTAATCCTTCTCTTTTTCTATTTGTTTTTTTTTTTATTTCTATTCCTTTTTTTGTCCACCTGGTTAAAATCAACTTTTTCATTTTATTCTTCAAAGCGTATTCGTGCTCTAAGTTATTTTATATGATATTATGTGTGTGTGTTGAATGAATTAATTTTGTATTTAATTAAAATCGAATGAATTTTGATAATTGAAATAATATCTCACTTTTTATTTCAAATATATCTTTATTATAATATTAAATTGAATATAAAAAAAGTTACGAATAATTTACGATTAATTAAATTGCAAATAACTTCGATCGAAACTTTGTTTTTCAAGAAAAAGAAATATATATATATATATATATATATATATATATATAANATATATATATATATATATATATTATTTCATAATAAAAAGAATAAAAAAAATATCTGTGTGTATTATGGAAGTGAATATTAAAAAAAAAAAAAAAATAATAATAATAATAAATAAAAAAAAAGAAAGAAACCATTTAGCAGAACTTTTCATTTTTCTCATGGGAATTTAGTATTATAGCAGAGAGTTTGTTGTTAACTCATGATATTACTTCTCGAATACTTTTATCATATTTGTCGTT